ACAAGGAGAAGAAGTTTTTAGTGAGGCCCGGTCTTTGCTTTTCAAAACCATCCGCGTCCGGCGAGTGTACGACAAGGAGTCAAAGGCTTTGATCTACATTTCATATTCAACACGCTTCAGCAAAAGTGATGATGACAACAAGAGTCGTTTCAAGTCTTCGCTCTGCGCAATTCCCGTGGAGGACGTGGATGCTCAGGGGCAAGGGCAGTAGGTGATGGTGCACTCTTTTTGAAGGATACATGCCACCACGGTAGATTCAGGTATCGACCATTTTTAAAGTATCCAGAAGAAAAATACAAAAACATGCGCTAAGTAACGTTCAATCTTTCAAATTATTGCATTAATTACGCGGCAGAAAAGTGCACAGAGTGTTCATGTTTCATTACAGTGTACTGTTGAAACGTATCATCTCGTTTCATTTTGAACAAAAAGAAGCGCACAGAATTTGTGACATGTGATTCGATACCTAAGCGTTTCGACTCATTAAACCAGAGCTAAGCCTTACGCGTAAAGTGCATATTCCAGTGGTTGTATACACTCAAGTGCATATATATGTGGTTGTATACACTCTACACAGCTCAACTAAGGCCGCATATACCCGAGCTTCAAGACACTTGCTCTTCTCCCAGGCATGCTAATACTTGCTCGTGAACATACTGGGAGAACAAGGGAAGAGGGCATGAGCAGCCCGGAAGGCCAGACAGTCCTCCTCCTTCAGATAGACAACTCGCCCACGAAGGTTGGGTCCATCTTTCCCGGTGGTCCCCTCCCCTCCAAGAATCCTCATGGGACGATGATGCTTTCCGTGCATCATAACACTGACCACCCGACGCTTCTCCTTGTTGAGGCAGACGCTATCAAATAGCTCAATCAAGTCATCTCGCCCCGCTTCTCGCACTCCATCCGCATAGAGCTGATTTCTTTTCCATTCTAAAGTCCCGTTCACGATTTCCTCCCAGTGCATGCTAGCCTCTCCTACCATCTTCTTCGGGGGCTCCAGTAGATTTGTGATGAGAGCCTCTTTATGCCTCTCCAATTCCGATAAAGAAAGCACCGTCAGGATTTCTCGGTGGAACTGGCCCAAGAAAGCTTCCAACCGGTCGAGGATGTCTTCGGGTCCGTGCGTCTTGGACAAGACTCGGAAGGAAAGCCCGGCCACCATGGACCGAAACCACATACTCTTCACGCCGGACCCGACGATGTATCCCAATTGTTCTCGGGTTCGGAGTTGCGTGAAGCATGGTTCCTTCATGATCTGAGCCAGCAACATCAATTGCGCCGTCTGCGCCGCCGTGACCAGGCCTGCTTGGAAGTAGGTGCTCAGGGAGGAGTTGGTGTCGGCATCGTTGGGCACGATGGCGCAGAGACGGTGGTCGACGCCTGCGTCGAGCATGACTGCGCGGCTAAAAGGCTGTACAGGAACGGATGGGGTGGGCGGAAGAGAGAGAATTTTACGCCAAGATTGATTCCAGTCCCATTATAAAGCACCTCTCTCCCGGGCAGTCACCGACTGATGGCGTCCGCCAATGGGTCGGCCATCCATCCCCCTACCTCTCCCTCTCACCTGCAAGCTAGGACACAGGGGCTCGAAACGCCCGTTCCTCCGCATGAGCCGTTCCACCAGCTCCCCTAATCCAAGGGCACTTTCCTCGCTCACATTCCCAAACACACCCAGGGTCACGGAGTTCCGGGCCATCAGCTCCCGGTGAAAGTGCGCGAGGTCTTCGGCCTGCAGGGATTCCAAACGCTGAAGTTTTTCCTTCCACGCCCAGCGTCCTTCGGTCAAGAGAAGGGAGAGGAACATCTGCCCATGTTCGTCGGGCCGGGCCAGGGCGATGTTCCTGTAGGCGTCGATGGCCTTCTCACGGGTCAATCGGAAAAGCGCGTCGTGAATGTCGGTGGTAAGGACGGACTCGAGGACTTTGTGGAGGAGGGTCTGGACTTTGTGGCTGAAGCCTGAGAACCTGTGAGAGAGGCAATAGAAAAGCGCCACATGAACAGAAGGAACGCGAATGAAAGCATGCGAGAGGAGAGGTGAAAAGGGGAGGAAAGGGTGCGAACCTCAAGGTCAGGCCACGCGCATGGCTACTGATAGACCATCCGAGCCCCGCCACCACGCCGTCGTAGGTGCTTTCTGCGAGAGTATGCTCCAGGTACCGGACGAAGAGCTCAGCGGCGGCAGGATCCCGCTGGGGAAGGGGCGTGGCAAATTCGAGGACGATGTGGGCCCGAGGCTGCTTGTAGGAAAGGTCCACTTTGTGCCAGACGTGGACGCAGGGGTTGGCAAAGACCAAGGCGGGGGGGGAGGGTGTGGCGGAGGGTGGCTCGTAGGATGGGGCAAGGATTTCGAATTCCTCCGCGACGAACGGGTTAGGGCGGGGAAGGTGCAAGGAGTCGACGTGCGCACAGGCCCATTCCCGGGTCGCGTGGGCCGGGAAGAGCTCGAGCTGGTAGGGAATCTGATACCAGGGTTCCACGAGGTCGAGCACGGCGGGTGAGTTTCGTGGCGCCGCTGACAGGTCCAGGCGATGCCGATGGAAGAAGCGTGACTGATTGTCCTTGCACGAAAGGGTTAGAATGGCTTTCTCCTCCGTCATATGGGCCAGGCAGGCCGAGAGGGAGGCCTCTTCCAAGGGATCGAACAAGTGCCCCGCGCTCAGGACGTGCCTGTCCTGATGGTACTGGAGCCTCCTTGCCAGGTCTGCGGCATAGGAATATTCGGAGGACTTCTGCTGGAAGCGGAATGCGGTGGCGGAAATGACGCGAAGCTCGTCCCAGAGGACCAGAAGTTCCTCTACATACGGCGGCAAAGCAAAGGGAAAGGGGCGAAGAAAAAGGAGGGAGACCGCGGGAGTCAGCACTCAAGACTTACGGGCCGAAAATGGCCGAACGGGACACAAAGTTTGGATAGAGAAGCCTTTACCTGGGGAGGCACGGCCGATCAAGTGCACGTATTGGAAAATCAGACTTGCCACGTCCTGCCAGTGTGGCAGCCCTTCCTCTGTCAAGGCGACCGTCACCTCGAACAAACAGAAATCGTCTTGCGACGTCCCCAAGCCTGCATGGACCCCGCTTGCCCAGCCCGCCCTGTGCAGGACGGAGAAAATGGAGCCCTCCCCCTCATGGCCGAGTAGGTGGGAGAGGAGCCGCGTGGGAGGGGCGCGGTACGCAGGGCGGGAAGGAGGGAGGGGCCAGGTCACCCGGATCTCCTTCTTGTCGCGCAGCGGCACAATGCGTATGAGCGGCACGGCGGGGCATTGATCCATGCCTGCGTCCAAGCCAAGGGGGGCGACAGAGGGGAGGCGCCCTGTGCTGGGGTCGTCGTCGCCCGAGATGGTATAGGACGGGTTGGGGGTGGGGGGACAGAGGGCATTCCTCTGGCCGTCGCTGGGAGTGTGGTTGGATGCCAGAGGCAGAACGCGCGTCTGGAAGGGGTTGTTGAACCGGACTGCCGCCGTCCTCCCTCCGTCGCCTTCCCTGACTGCCAGCGGCTCTCTGTCCCTAATGGCACCGAATTTGTCCCGCACGTGCCCCTCAAGGACATCGAGGCTGTCCCGGCTTACCAGGGCAAGGGCCATATTCCCCGCGTAGTAATGCCTGGGGTCCGAGTAAGAACAAGGACACGAGATGCATCGGCGGGAATGAGAGGGGGAAAGAGACAGAGAATAAGCTGGATGCTTACAGATCACTCATGTGCCCGCATCGCCCCCGCGGCTCCAATCTCTCAAGGCCCCCTTTCTCTTCCCAATCTCTCAAGGCCCCCTTTCTCTTCCCACTCACTCGGCGTAGAAGCGCAAAAGGGCGTCGCGAAGGTCAAAAGCAGGAGGTACGTCCTCCTTGAGGGTTTGGAGACTGCCCGTGGAAAATTTGGACCATGGGTGCGAGGGCGTAGCGACGGCCTTGGTAATCTGCCACATGCGACGGCTGTCGTTGGTCAGGTTTTTACTGTTTTCCGCGTCTACCTCCTTACAAGGAGAAGAAGTTTTTAGTGAGGCCCGGTCTTTGCTTTTCAAAACCATCCGCG